CCCCAGCCCTAACCCAGTCTGAGGCCATGTTGTGTCTTTCATTTGATGTTTTTTTAAAATCATACTTTCTGGGCGATAAAACTGTGAAACATGTTTTGAAAAGGCAAAGCAAGAGGTTCCTCCTTATGACTGTGGTGTTAATACTGAGAATGTGTGTCACCCAAACACCTCGTTAGTTCCACTGATGATCTGAATGAGCGTCTACCAGCCTCCTGTCTGTTCAGCTTTTAGCTTTACTGCCACAGAGGAAGAGTTTAAGCTGCTGGAATCTGAGAAGTGAGACTTTTCCTATCAACCGTTTCTCAAACTCATTATTCGACTATTAAAATAGCTGGGGGTGATTGTAACAGTCCAGTCCTAGCTGGTTACTGTCGAGCTGTGTGCACGTAGCTGAGTGTGGAGACGAACGCTGACGTGAAGAAGCACCAGAGGCAGACCTGGTCAGCAGGAGGACAGCGATGCCGATGCATCCGCTTGCTTTGGAAGACAAAGAAAAATCCAACTTTGGATTCTCTCGCCTCCTGTCCTGGACGGATTAGTGTTATGGGAAGTCTAATTAAATTCATGGCGTATCAGTGCCTTTAATGAACTGCCCTGCGGGGATATAAGCAGCGCTTCATCACTGAGCGAGGCTTATCGGTACCGTCCCATTGTGGAATATTTGTGCCGTGCAAAGAGCTTGTAATATCCGATGCCACGGATGCGTCTGGTAGCGGAAGTGGCAGCAGCTTCAAGACACATTTGGCTGTTTGCCTGTAATTCTAACGCCCACGCTCGTGTTTTTTAGTAATAATGCCACATAATGTTCAGAAGATCTGCACAATCTGGATCAGAACTGCTGCTCGGGGTGCTTGAACAGACCTCTGGTGTTTAATGCCTGGTGCATCCACTGTCAGGATTTCGGCCGACAGCCGCTAGACTAGATACCTGAAGTTCTCCTGGAGTGGTGGTGGAGATGAAGGAATGGCAACAACAGCGGCTCATTACTGAAAACATAACTCATAAATCATCTGTTGAGAGAAGAACTGGACTCTTTCTGTCATCTGTGAAGGACAGAGACGCTCGTTGTTCCTGAAGGTGGGTCAAACGCTGCCCACATCAAACACAAATGCAGCTCTGCTCAACATCTGCCCGTAACCTCATGCTGCCTGCACTGGGAAGCTGGAAAACAGAACGAAACGCACTCAGATCGCTGCCACACATGATGGATGCTTCCTCTCCTCGTGACGTTGGTTTGCTGCTCCCAGCTCGGAGGGAGGGCTCCCTGACATCTGCATAAATAGAGCAGCTACTCAACACGATTTCCAGCCTGAAACTCTCCGAGGAGACACTCCGGGCTTATAAATAGCAGCGAGCACGGTGCATCCAAATCAGCCTGTTTGTTTCAGGCGACGCGGCGTCGTCTCTACAGCCACTTGGCGCCTTTTCCTTGTTGAGGAAACACCAAGATAAGCTCCTGAAAATGTGTTTGACTGACCTGAAACCTTCATTGTAACCAACTAAGTAACAGGTTCATGTTTTTTTCTCAGCCTTACCATCCCAGTGCCCTTAAATCATCCACTGTTCACAATGTGCAACGAAACATGGTCTGAATGTCACAGAAAAGGTCTGCGTTGCTGCTACGATGCGTTCAGGGTTGGTTCTGTAGCAAACTGCACTCAGACTGACATCAGGGTCAACAAGCTGCTCAGATGATCATTTCTGCGCCTGTAGAGCTCCGCTGTACCTGGACAGCACTGTACATGAGCCTGAAGCCCGTTAGGGTTCTGTCCAGAATGCTCCTTTGTCTGCAGCGTCGGTTCAGGGAGGAACCATTTGCATCGAACATACCATCACAGAAGCTGCCGGCGGATTTGCATACGGACGGAGCAGCAGTTCGGTTGAAGCAACAAATACTTTGGATGCAGTCGAGTTGTTCCGTTGGTTGATTTCCATGTTTACCGTGATAGTGATCTGCTGGTACCAGGAGGACACGGGACGCCGTGATAGTGATCTGCTGGTACCAGGAGGACACGGGANCCGTGATAGTGATCTGCTGGTACCAGGAGGACACGGGACGCCGTGATAGTGATCTGCTGGTACCAGGAGGACACGGGAGACGCTTTAAGTTCACTTTGTATTTTGATCATCGTGTCGTAAATTGCAGCTGATGCACCAGTGCTGTTCAGTTCAGCCCAGTACAGCCCTGACCTGGGCTGAACTGGGCTGAACTGGGCTGTCAATTCCATTTACTTATTCTTTTTTAATTAAATACATATTTTCAGAAATATTCTTTTTTCTTTGTTCCGTTTTAACAAAATGTTTTTTCTGCCGTTAAACTCTGTCCGGCTCAGAGGCTCCTGACTTGTCTCTAGTTCTAGTCGTGGTGCTGCTGCTTCCTCAGAGGTGCAGGACTTCATGCTGCAGTCAGAAATGAGCCTGTGCCGAGTTTAAATGCGACAGGAGCGAAAGAAACAAACTGTTTTGAGATGAGAGGGTGAACCAGCACCAATACAAGGCAGGTGTGAAATAGAAATGTCAGCATCACAGTGTTCTCCTCTGATTCCTGAAACGTTCTCTGGAATGTACACATAACACTGAACACAGATTGGTTCAGACATTTATCCGTCCCTGTCTCCGGCTCTGACACGGATCACAGCTAAATGCCAGCTGCCGCGGTTCTGCATACGGAACCGACACGCCGCCGCGGTTCTGCATACGGAACCGACACGCCGCCGCGGTTCTGCATA